GAGCCAAATCCAATGAATGGAACTGTCATATCTAGAGAGAGAAAATATCTCACTTGGGAGAACTGTACCCCATTAGTTTAGCTTTAGTAATCGTCTTGTCTCTTTGATGAAAGTCACGTATCTGTCCCTTTTTCCCATCATTCTTCCAAAACTTTGTTGTGCATGCATGTGGTAAATAATAAATACAAACTATTGGATGTTTTATACTGTCGGGGTGAAACGCAGCGAAAATTAACAAAAAAAAAGAACATTTATCGAATAAACACTAATCTTACCGGCTCATGTAGCGATTGTAACGATCGACACCTTTAAAATCACATAAAAGTACAAATTTTGATTTGTAGAGAATTGTGAAAAATACCGTTTAATTGATTTCGTATAGCGATAACAGAGAGGGAATCGGTTCTTGATATGTGTCTATTACGGTCTTCGTTCATAGAAATTATTCTAAGTAAGTCCACCTTTTGAATTACGACTCAAAAATCAATCTCTTTGCTAGTAGAAATTATGTCGATCTTCAATTGGTATTTGAAATAAAAACTATTCTGCCGGGAGATTGCAGCCATGTTGCTAAACTCTTTTAATAGCTTTTTTTTTTTTCATAATAAAAACAATGATCAAAAGATTAGGAAATCAATTTTTCAAATACTTTAAGTCCAAGCCCAAACTTATTTTTGTTATCACCCGTAAAAACGAAAACATCTCCTCTCTTATGAGGGTTTTTAATTAAATAAACATGTTAATTTGTGGAATTGAATGGTAATTTATTCTAGAGGAATTTGCACCCTTACTTTAAGTTATGATATTTATTACACTTATATACCTATTATAGTATTATTTGTAAATTTACTAGAACATGAATAAAATATTGCACTTCTACCTAAAAAGTGAATAGACCAGATGTAACCGTTACATAGCAATTTTCTGGACAAATTAAAAGCAATTAGAATAATTAATTCAAATAAGATACCTTCTTACCAAAAAAGCAGAACAATAAACCTCTCTCTCTGTCATTGCTATCATTAATCTCTCTCTCTCTGCAAAACCTCCCACCGCCTCACGTTCACCCCCCCTCAACGCAAAGAAACCGTCTTCAGTGGCGAAGACCAAACTACCAATTTCGACTCCAAAAACTGATAAACAGTGCCGACGAAACCCCAAAGAATAGGTCGAGTGCCCGACTTCGTAAAATTCAGTCAAAAGCACAACCCAAATTCGTTCAGAAAAATTTAAAATTCAAAAAAAAAAATGAACCATAACGCTAATCGCCAAGTCCGGCAACAAGGCTAAAGTGCAAAATCGTAGGTCATCTCCCGATTCAGACGATTTCCAGTCCGACCTAAATTCACCGAGAAATATTTAGAGGACCCGTAAATTGGAGAAGCCCAAATCCACCGATAAATATTTGGAAGAAGAAGACCTCGATTTCCAGTATGAAAATCCACCCAAAGAATCCGGCAGTGAAGAAGATTTCGACAAAGAAGAGCCCGCTTTTGCAGTGTCGAAGAAAAAAAAAAATAGTAAAAGGCACAGAAAAGAAATGAACAAGCGAAATTAGGCAAGAAGAGAAGAATGCCTAACACTACCCAGAATAGGCCCCAACGCGATGTTCAATCATGGATAGTGTATAAGGTAATTTTTTTCTTCATTCCATTATTTTTTTTTTTTCTGGGTTGATTTTTATTCGTCTTTTATTGTGTGTTGTTAGTTGTTAATTGTATTGTGACAATTCATTTTTTTATGACGATAACCAAATGTTCATGTTTCACAAGAATTGCTTTGACTCAAGCATAATAATTGACTTTGCTTTATGTATGAAATAACACACTGGCCCCATATCCTGATTTTCATATGACCCCATTTATGTATGAAATAACACTCTGCTGCAATTTTGATATGCTTTTGTGAGTTTTTTAGTTTTCATCTAATGTTCGTTTATGTCCATGATATTAACAGTATATGACGTTGTGGTTGACTGGAAACCAGCCAGCATATAATTAGTATAATTCAAGTATATTTGTGTTATGTATTTCACATTGTTCCTTTTATGCAATGTATATTTCAATGTCTATTCACATTGTTCCCTCTTATGCAATGTATATCTCAATTTAGTTCATTGAAAGTATATGCAATGTACATTTCTATGAAATTATTCAAAAGTTGAATGGATTAGTCATATAATGTGTTTTCTGACTGCTCAGTATATGTGTAGTACACATTTCTAGTATATGCAAGGTTTATTTTAATGATATCTAAGTTAATACTGCAATTATTTGTTATAAATTTTGTTTTATTGATTGCACAATATATGTTTAGTTCATTTGAAGTATACGCAAGGTTTACTCATGGATTCACACATATTGAACATCATATGTTTAGTTCAATGATTTGTAGTTCGGTTGCAAGTTTTTGTTTATTTCAAGTATATGCAAGGCAACCAAAGCCTAAGCCCGAAGAAGGTTACTCAATAGGCGTAAAAAAGACAGCAGTTGGACGAAATAATTAGAGATAGCTGATCGGATTTTCTCTTTTTAGCTAACTCAGTTGGCTTAGGATATTATTTTTTATTACTGAATTTATGTGTCAGACTTTTCTGTTATCATCATTTATCATTATATTTGTAGTTCATTTCAGGCATTATTTCATTGCAACAGATTTTCGTTTCAGGCAACAGATTTTCTTCATAAATTATTATTGTTGGTTAATATTGTTCCTTATAATATAAATGTTTTTTCCTTTTTATTATTTTTTCAGGAATGGAAATTGCTCATCCCGCACCTAGGGGATATAAATGTGAAGGTTTAAAAGAGCAATGACAATAGCAAAGATAAATCCATGATAATTGAAATCAAGAGGACACTTGCGACGGAGCAATTGCAATTGTTTAGGATCTCCCTCAGTGCATTGTACAGAACCAACTCATCAACCATATACTTTTACGTGAGGTTCATCAGAATAGGACCGATGAACTTTGGTTTGATTTTGGAGGGAGCTGCTTCGATTTGGGATCGAGGAGTTTGTTGTAATAACGGAATTGAATTGCACTGAAAAGAGTAAAAAATTGAATATTCCAAAGATTTTTGGCGGTCTGCATGACAAGTATTTTGATGGCGTTGAATTAAGCCGGAAACACATCAAGTGGCAGTTCAAAAAAAAATCATGGTCGAGTGATGAAGATGTTATGAAAATTGCTAAGTTACATATACTAGCAAATTTCCTAATGGGCTCTCAAGATGCTTTTCGCATAGACCGATGTTCTGTTGACTTGATTGACAGTGCAGAGTGCGATGATTACGCTTGGGGAAAAGATGTGTTTGATTTTACTCTTTATTATCTTAAGAAATCAATTCATACTAGAGAGGAAATGCACATATTTGAGATGGCCGAGGGCTCTGGTTATCTGTATAGATGTTATGGTCTTATATTGGCTCTTCAGACATGGTTCTACGAGGTATGCGACACCGCTGAAGGTGTAGTCTGCACCAACGGTGGTGATCATGATATCCCAAGGATAATCAAGTGGGAAGTTCGAGAACCACATAACCATATTTTTATGCAGAGGACCTTTTTAAATCTTCATCACTCCCAGGTAATTAATTATGTTGTCTTATATTTTTCTATTAAGTTACCGATAACTTTTTTAATCTTTTTTTTTTTCACAGTCCAATAACATTGTTCCCACCGAGGCGGAGATACAGACTCTTTCGTTGGACTCATTTTT